CCCCCCTTCGTCCCTCCCTCCCTCACTCCCACCACCAAACACATCAAAAGCCAATTTATTGACCAATTACTGCATTATGAGAGTACAGACGACAGTGTATTTGCATCAATATGCATTTGAATGCTTCGAATGCAGATAGGATCTTCAACTCATGCGGTGTTTTTCACCAGAGGGGGACTGTTTATGGTACGGTTGTTGTAGTCCATAGTCGTCATCGATTGCCACAGTGGAGCTCATGTAATAAAAATGTCTCCGACGATAAAACCTGTGTATTAAGCGCCCATACCCTTAAACTATTACAAGGCCCAGGAAACGCAGAGGCAGCACACAATGTTTTCGTGTTGAGCCAAATGGAGGCAGGAAGTGAGATGAACTGCTTTTCTGTGACTTTGACCCGCAGACACTGGTGATCTATTGTAGAAGAGGTTTGTTTGGCTGGACAATCGCATTTGAGAAAAGCAATGGAAACAAATTGAATTAAATCACTTGAGTGCTCGGCAGATGCTTTTAGTGGTCTGCGCATGACGTGTGACCTTCAGGGATCGCACATCTTCAGAATATGTGCACATGCGTGTCAATACGATACCCATAGCGAGCCTCGCTTTTAACTCCTTACTTGATCAAAATGGACGGGTTCTTTTTTCCAACTTTCATGGAGAACCCATAACGTAAAAAAGACAGAAGTAGAGAATGTTAAGATCAACTACAGTTGAGATTTTGATTGTTTCTTAGGTTCTTTATAAAGTGGGAATAAACGGTAGGAGAAATGTTACCCATGAAGCATTACCAACAAAACAGACGAGCAAGATATTCTGCAGCCATGACTTCAATAAAGAAAATTGTTTAGTGTTAAAATCTTTTGTTGCGATGCGATGTCTCGTGACACCCAAACAACCACTAGCTTCTGCTGTTCAAAAATCAATCTAACACGAAAAAAAGCCTCCCCGCACATTCAAATACGTGCGGGGAGGCTATTGTTCCAGTTGTTATCATTATCTTTAAAAAATTTTTGTGAAGTTGTAATGTTTTGCTTCCTGTTGTCATTTCAATCTAAATTTGTCTGTTAGAATTTACCTTCTGACTTTTTTCCTTCTCACTGCAAGCACTATGCCAATTAATGAAAGACATTCTAAGGTTGTCTATGTGTGCCCTGCGATTGGCTGGCAACCAGTTCAGGGTGTCCTCCACCTACTGCGCGAAGACACTTGGGAAAGGGCGCCAGCACGCCCCGGTGAGGATAAGCGGTTAAAATCAATGAATTAACTTTTTGTGTTGAGACAATTCTTTTTTTCCTTTTCTCTGTTATCAAAACAGGTATCATACATAATTAGAGGTAAAAACGTGTATCTTTCTTTTGTACTTAAGTAGATATCAGTCCGTGAAACAGTACTTCTATTATTACCGGAGTATTTTCTGGTTCAAGTATCTATACTGTATTTCTACACTTAAACACAGATTGTGATTACTTTTGAAACCTCTGGCGAGCGGCTAAGAACAAACTGAAGTGTGGTGGCTTTGATCCGGCGTAAGTGTGCCCTCTTTGTTCTGGTCTACTCCACTCTCATTCTTGCTTTTGTCCCCACCCACTGAGACAGGAAGGCTGGCATTGCTACAATTCCCTCTCCCAAGGAACACACATTCTATTCTATCTGGCATGTTTCCAGGGCAACCAGTGCAGGTAGTGCAGAGTAGGTGAGCCATAAGAGCGCTTCTCTTTGATTTTTTTTTTTTTAGGTGTTTATTTTAGTCAAGCATTTCCCGCCACTCAGGCTGAAGAGGGAGGGACGTGGCCTCAGCCGGTATGAAGAAAGGCTGGCTGCACACAGCCTCGCGCCAAAACGCCGGCGTTATTTAAATCAGCTCAGTGGGTGCGCCCCAACTGCCTCCATGTCCTGTTAACCCCCTCTGAGTTCCAGGCCATCAAGCACAACATGAAGGCGCAACCTTTACTTAGGTACAGGTCTCATTAAAAAACAAACAAACAAACAAACAAAAAACGTTCACTCATATTTCAGATAAAGACAGTATATTATTTTATTTTTACCAACTTTTTTAAACTAACATTATAGAGGTAAGCTTTATAATATGCTCCAAAGGGCATTACAGTTCACCCCTTTGTCGCAGGGAATACATTCCGGTTCTGATACGTGTAAATCTATGATGCTGAAACCAGGAATGTTTACTTTTTTTTCTGGCCGATTCCAGTATGAGTACTAAACACTTACCGATACCAAGTAACCAATACCACAAGTACTTTTGATCGATAAAAGTTCTATTAAGGCAATGCCAGGTAACTAAAAAAAAACCCTCAGCATCCTCTAAATTGTGGTTTAGCTAAATTATTTAGCTAAACCACATTAATGTCTTCAAAGCGCAATTGACACTTTCATAAGGCAATGTCAGGTAACTTAAAAAAAAACCCCAAAAAAAAACCAAACAAAAAAAACTTTTATTTCTGACATAAAACAGTCACCCTGCAAAAGAGAATTTAAGTGAAAAATAAAACACAAACAACTCTCTTAAATTTGGGATTCATTTGTAATAAATGAACAAAAGTGCAAAACAAAACAGACGTCTCCCTGAGTTTTAAATAAGGAAAAAAATAACACAGGTTCAACCATTAACTGTGAGGCATGACACTATAAAGTTGAAAATGGGGCTGGACGATACAGCGGAAAATTTGATCACAATGTAAGTATTTCATATCAGCCTTTGTTGATAAATATACATATTTTTTCTACCAATTCAAAATGAGAAAACATTAAATGGATTAAAGATAAAATACAATAAAATTCAGCCATCCAGAGGAAAAATACCATTCGGATTGCAAAATAGTGCTACATAAAAATCCAACATTTACATGCCATGTAGACAAAGTGGCTCTCTACGCTGAATTTAAATAGAACGAAGGGAGCCACTTTCAATAGATGGCAAACTAGTTGACTGCGTTCCCTCCCACGGCACACAACGGTGCAAACATCCCTTTCTCCCTGCTCCCATATACCAAAATACCAAAAGAAAGAAAACTCCACCCATGCTTACACTTATAGACTGCGCTTCACACCAGCTTTGCAATGGGTATGAAAACGTGTTTTCTAACAACAATTCTCTTTTCTCTCTTGCCAAAAACAATCATCTCAGTTCTGTTTTGGTTCGGCTGAAGGATATTTTGGTTCATGCAGTTATTAATTAGTTTTTGACAGTGACACAACACCTTAATTGAACTGGTGTCATTTGGGTCAAGGTTCAGGATTTTCGTCACCTTCCTGTAAGGAGTTTGCACGTCATCGCCATGCTTGTGTGGGTTTTCTCCAGGTATAGTACTTCAGCCCCCCCCCCCCAAAAAAAAGCATATTATTAAGGACCCTTGTCCATACCTCTGAATGGTTGTCTGTCTTTTATGTGCAGACGGAATGACATGAAGAGCTGCGCGTCTTAATTTGACAGACTCGCCTGTCCTCTACTGCTCTCTAGCGGCTGCAAGATACTTTTCAAAGCACACCCCCTTTTTTTAATTGGCTGTTTTTTTTCTGTATTTATATTTCTGTTATTTGTTAGACCAATCAATTATAATTCAATATATTAAGAACACACATATTGTCCTCTTAATAGTGGGAATTGGCAATGTAAACATATTTTCCCCATGTCTGTTTAGTAATTTGAGTGTGTAGTTCATTTTATATATGATGTATTCTCTGGTATTATTTATTATTTGTACCAAATATCAGTTCCAATATTTATATGTGGAAAAAAACATCTTGTAATTGTTGATATTATTATTAATCAAAGGCAGTGACCCCCTACGTTGAAGAACCATTACAAATTAACACTACCAGCGTAGCTGCAAATTTCACATTTTACTTTTAAAATGTCGAAAATATTTATAAATCAATTAATCATTTCTTTTAAAAAAATGCGCACATTGTTTTTGGAAGCAGTACGCAGGGCAGTCGGAAATCCCTCGTAATAATTGATTTCTTCGCAAAAAAATATCCGAATTTTCTCCGAATTACAATCCCATTTCCGCAAAACGGACCAACCACAATCTACTACATCATCCTACTGTCTTCCAACCAATCATATAACGTGACGTCTCCAACAGGCGTAGGTCTTTAAATGCTTTTAAAATAATAAAAGCGCATTTAAGCACTTCTGGGTAACAAAAAAAAAAAAACAACTGTTGAATTTGATTTTTATTCTGATTAAAAGTAAAATTGGCATGCCGATTCCTGAATTGCAGTCAGTTTTATTTTTATCATATTAAGTTTTTTTATTCCATATCTTACCCTCCACATGGTTGCGTGGTTAAAAAAGTAAAATTGGCATGCCGATTCCTGAATTGCAGTCAGTTTTATTTTTAGCATATTAAGTTTTTTATTCCATATCTTACCCTCCACATTGTTGCGTGGTTAACAAAGTCCTCATTCGCCCTGCAACTGCCTGATGATAATCGAAGCGTAGTTCACCTTTTGGCTTTAGTCTGCTTGATGAGTTCCAGGCCCTGCTGTGACTCTGAACATGTTAAGGCTAATGACAACGGACGGATGTTCAGGAAGCATCTATCAATCTTCTTCTTCAGTGGGTCTTCACAAAGATGCCTGCTCAGCATCCTCTAAATTGTGGTTTAGCTAAATTATATTGTAATACATTAAATGTCTTCAAAGCGCAATTAACACTTTCAACTTTGTTTGATGTGTGTCTGTTTCTCTGCCTAATGCTACATGCAGCGCTGTACAGTACAGGGACACCAATACAAGATGCGTATCATAAAACAATGATCGAGAATTTTGAGATTAATGAATTGCGTAAAATGTCGCTACCTCACATTTACACTAAGGTCAGGTATTTTTCAAACTCGGTTCTATCACCCTCCCAGCCAGTCGGTGGCTGTTGCCGGGCAACAGAGAGTGCTGCTTTGCTGGCAAGATCAAGCATGTGCACACATAATACCCATAGAGGACTCAATTTCCCACACGGCTGAGCGGCAGTGTGAATTGGAAGCTAATGGCAGAAAAATCACATAGCATAAAATTAACATAACAGCGTAAAAACAAAAAGAAAGGAATAATCAAAATATGTACAGATATCATCATTTGAACAGATCGATTCAACAATGGGAAACATGTAATGAGACATTGTTCTACTTTGTCACATCAGTGTACTCTACGTCATCCAGTCGTGCAACAAGCGCCTGTCACGCTCAGCCAGATGCTCTGCTGCTCCAGGAAGGAAATGCAACGCGGAAAGGGTTAAAATCAGGAGGGAGACGCCAAATGACTGCAAGTCAGTGTGGATGAGAGAGGAAAGACAAGCACAAACGAGCGCTCTCACGATAATGCGGGCTACTGTATTCCTGAAATGAGTGCGCACCGCTTGCCATTCATCCGCATGTTATTCCTTTTCCTGCAGTCTGACTGATCTCGTTTGCTAAATTCACTGGAGCCTCAGCTCAAATTGCTCCTCTGCATGTGTTCACCCGCACTTCAGGTGGCACCTCCAAGCAGAGAGAGAGGGAGACGGAGACTCGACCAGGACGTGAAAGAGTGACTAAACTGTTTTGGTTTGTTTGTCAAAGAATGAATTTAAGCAACGGTGTCAGTGGACAGAACCGAAATGATGCAAGCTGGGAAGATACGAAGAGACCCGTGAAGCTCTCTACTCCGACGAGGAAGCCTCAACCTGTGAGTTATATGCTTTCGGTGTTTGTTGTTTTTCCTTTACCCCATTTTGCAACCTGTGGATGCATCCGCATTAACGAGTACAACGTACATCGCTTGCAAAATGCATCACGTCATCTTTGGCATGAATATACCATCGTGGATGAGTACGTAAAAGATAACGATTGGATCTCAAATATTTGATTTTTCACAACAACTTGAAACTACTCAACACAAAGGGCAAAGGGCTCTTTTCTATCAGCCAAACTCTAAATCAATAAATCAGATAAATGTTAACAGTGTTGACGTTTGGGCATTGTGGTATGTGCCCTTTGCTGAGGGGATGAAGTGTTTTGTGTCACAGTCACACTGTTGCTGCCAACTCTGTAATAACAAATGACTCTTGGCCGTAGCAGCTTGAGGAATGACGATGGCCTGCCTACTTTGTCACAATGTTTCATGCACTACTGCTTAGGACTTGAATCTTAAGTTAATTAAATAAGGTGAGAATTTCATAGACAGTCGATGCAGTTGACCAGTAGGGGGCGGTCACTCAGTACAACTACTTCGTGACTGTACTTGAGCCTTTTCAGGCATCTGTGCTTTTACTGTAACTGCTCATATTTCAAAACAGATCACTGTACGTTTTACCCCTCACTTTGTCAAAATCGGTTTGTTCTATTTTCCAACGTCTGCGGATGCCATGACGTAAAAAGACGTATTCTAAACAGGAGGAGGCAAAGTTATCCGCGATTGATATCTTGATAATAGGTACTGTACACATCTGACAAAATGTATTTTTACTTTTTTGCTAAAGTACATTTCAGATTCTGTACTTTTTTGTCTTTTGACTAGTAGAATCTGTGTGTCTACTTTGATCGGAGTCGTTTTTTTTTTTTTAACACAAATACCTCTTATACTCGAAGTACAGAGAGGAAGTACTTTTGCCACCTGCGCAGTTGTCAACAGAGAAACAAACTCATGTGCTTGGCCCATTTCTCAGCCCAAACCCGAGAATGCCATCACCATCGCCGTGTCGTCGCGGGTGCTCTTCAACATGGAACGTGAGCAGCAGATCTACGAGCGGCAAGGCATGGAGGAGTATCTCAAGTACCAGCTGGAGCATGAAAGTGAGCCTTTCAGTCCTGGTCCTGCCTTCTCCTTCGTCAAGGTCAGCGAGAGCCCAGGATGAGGCAGCAAAAATGACTGTTGTGCATCGATCAGGTCAAACACAGACTGATGTGTTTAGGGTGGAAATAAGGGGCTCTACCATTTGCATTTTGTGGCAGTTGGTATAGTTCGAATGTGAGGCAGACTGGAAAATAGAAAACAGAGCTCAATTTATACGTAATAGAGTTCCTCCGAAATGTCATTTGCGTGCTTGTCATCCTGCTGCTGTAACAAACCAACCAACTGCAATCGAAACAAAAATATTGCCACCGCTTGAAATATCATTTATTTCTTCTTCGGTTTATTACATTGGAATGCTTGAGTAGATTGTGAAGGGGGTCGGGGTAATGCACCTTTTTGGATAAGAATAAAAACATTTGCCACCTACGTAATAATTCAGCCATCACAAACATCTCAGTATGCCAAAAAAAAAAAAAAGAGCCTTTAACCCGCCCCCACAAAGTGTTTTAACACGCTGCTTCGTGCATCAGGGGGTGGTGAAGAAAAATCAGGATGAAAGAACAAACAGACAAGTGCAGCCCACCCAATGATTCAGGAGGTTTGTTGATTTTGATCTTAAATGTGACATTGGTGGTGTTCCCAGGCTCTGGAGGCTGTCAACAACCGACTGCGGGAGCTTTACCCACAGAGCGAGGAGCTGTTTGACGTGGTGCTCGTGACAAACAACCACGCATACGTGGGCCTCCGGCTCATCCATACCCGCACCGCTTGCCATTCATCCGCATGTTATTCCTTTTCCTGCAGTCTGATTGATCTCGTTTGCTAAATTCACTGGAGCCTCAGCTCAAATTGCTCCTCTGCATGTGTTCACCCGCACTTCAGGTGGCACCTCCAAGCAGAGAGAGAGGGAGACGGAGACTCGACCAGGACGTGAAAGAGTGACTAAACTGTTTTGGTTTGTTTGTCAAAGAATGAATTTAAGCAACGGTGTCAGTGGACAGAACCGAAATGATGCAAGCTGGGAAGATACGAAGAGACCCGTGAAGCTCTCTACTCCGACGAGGAAGCCTCAACCTGTGAGTTATATGCTTCCGGTGTTTGTTGTTTTTCCTTTACCCCATTTTGCAACCTGTGGATGCATCCGCATTAACGAGTACAACGTACATCGCTTGCAAAATGCATCACGTCATCTTTGGCATGAATATACCATCGTGGATGAGTACGTAAAAGATAACGATTGGATCTCAAATATTTGATTTTTCACAACAACTTGAAACTACTCAACACAAAGGGCAAAGGGCTCTTTTCTATCAGCCAAACTCTAAATCAATAAATCAGATAAATGTTAACAGTGTTGACGTTTGGGCATTGTGGTATGTGCCCTTTGCTGAGGGGATGAAGTGTTTTGTGTCACAGTCACACTGTTGCTGCCAACTCTGTAATAACAAATGACTCTTGGCCGTAGCAGCTTGAGGAATGACGATGGCCTGCCTACTTTGTCACAATGTTTCATGCACTACTGCTTAGGACTTGAATCTTACGTTAATTAAATAAGGTGAGAATTTCATAGACAGTCGATGCAGTTGACCAGTAGGGGGCGGTCACTCAGTACAACTACTTCGTGACTGTACTTGAGCCTTTTCAGGCATCTGTGCTTTTACTGTAACTGCTCATATTTCAAAACAGATCACTGTACGTTTTACCCCTCACTTTGTCAAAATCGGTTTGTTCTATTTTCCAACGTCTGCGGATGCCATGACGTAAAAAGACGTATTCTAAACAGGAGGAGGCAAAGTTATCCGCGATTGATATCTTGATAATAGGTACTGTACACATCTGACAATATGTATTTTTACTTTTTTGCTAAAGTACATTTCAGATTCTGTACTTTTTTGTCTTTTGACTAGTAGAATCTGTGTGTCTACTTTGATCGGAGTCGTTTTTTTTTTTTTAACACAAATACCTCTTATACTCGAAGTACAGAGAGGAAGTACTTTTGCCACCTGCGCAGTTGTCAACAGAGAAACAAACTCATGTGCTTGGCCCATTTCTCAGCCCAAACCCGAGAATGCCATCACCATCGCCGTGTCGTCGCGGGTGCTCTTCAACATGGAACGTGAGCAGCAGATCTACGAGCGGCAAGGCATGGAGGAGTATCTCAAGTACCAGCTGGAGCATGAAAGTGAGCCTTTCAGTCCTGGTCCTGCCTTCTCCTTCGTCAAGGTCAGCGAGAGCCCAGGATGAGGCAGCAAAAATGACTGTTGTGCATCGATCAGGTCAAACACAGACTGATGTGTTTAGGGTGGAAATAAGGGGCTCTACCATTTGCATTTTGTGGCAGTTGGTATAGTTCGAATGTGAGGCAGACTGGAAAATAGAAAACAGAGCTCAATTTATACGTAATAGAGTTCCTCCGAAATGTCATTTGCGTGCTTGTCATCCTGCTGCTGTAACAAACCAACCAACTGCAATCGAAACAAAAATATTGCCACCGCTTGAAATATCATTTATTTCTTCTTCGGTTTATTACATTGGAATGCTTGAGTAGATTGTGAAGGGGGTCGGGGTAATGCACCTTTTTGGATAAGAATAAGAACATTTGCCACCTACGTAATAATTCTGCCATCACAAACATCTCAGTATGCCAAAAAAAAAAAAAAGAGCCTTTAACCCGCCCCCACAAAGTGTTTTAACACGCTGCTTCGTGCATCAGGGGGTGGTGAAGAAAAATCAGGATGAAAGAACAAACAGACAAGTGCAGCCCACCCAATGATTCAGGAGGTTTGTTGATTTTGATCTTAAATGTGACATTGGTGGTGTTCCCAGGCTCTGGAGGCTGTCAACAACCGACTGCGGGAGCTTTACCCACAGAGCGAGGAGCTGTTTGACGTGGTGCTCGTGACAAACAACCACGCATACGTGGGCCTCCGGCTCATCCATACCATCAACCATCATCGTGAGTTACAAGCCACACCATACGCGACACACACACACACACACACACACATGCACGCACGCACGCACGCACGCACGCGCGCACACACACACACACACACACACACACACACACACACACACTAACGGGTTTTTACTTTATACTTTAACTCTCTGTAGTGTTTCTGTGACACACCGAATTATTCGGAAGTTACGTCTCTTCTTTTCTTAAATGTAATACTTGCTGCCCGCTCAGAATCCTTCCACTCTGATGCCACGACCCTGTGTTTGCAAGTATGTGTGTGCGCAGGAAGTCACAACCCAACATCCTCTGTTTAAGGAAGGAAGAGGAAAGAAAGGGAAAACATGGGTCTGGATTTTCATTTTGTGGCGCAAAACATTTTAAATCCCTCAACGACCAATTCCCAGTTTACTGTTTGTTTAAAATGAAATCTTTCTCATGGTCCACACACTAAATAATGCAACCCAAGAGAATATGGGACCCCCACAGCCATTAATCACTGGTGTAATCAGGCAGAGTGGAGAAAAAAATTCACAGCTCTCAACATATTTGGCTCTGTGATATCCGTTACAGTCGAAACCCAGCCGCTGGGGAGCAGTGCCCTCCCCTGGGGGTACACTGTTCAAGCCCGAAGAAATGGGGAGGGTTGCGTCAGGAAGGGCATCCGGCGTAAAACTTTTGCCAAGACGGACATGCGAGTTGATAGGGCGGTTTGCAGGGACGGATGGGAATTAGTGACTCGCTGTGGCGACCCCTGAAAAGGGAGGAGCCGAAAGGGGAAGAAGAAGAAGAAGATATCCGTTACAGTCGAGGGCTTACGTGGTTGTTAAAAATGGAGAAACCAAATGAAGGAAGGTAAGGTAGGAGTGCAGGATGTAGAGGAAAAAATGGAAATTCCTAAAAAAAAAAAAGCAAATAATGTTCATGGAATCATCAAAAATATCTTATTAACAAAGCCCTCACACCTCACACACACACACACACACACACACACACACACACACACACACACACACACACACACAGGACTGAAACACTCTCTCATGCTTCTGAAATGTTCTCACACAGCCTACTTGAGATGTTTTTTTCTGCTCACATGCACGACTGAAACGCTCTTATGCGCACAACTCAAACATACACACAACATAAACACGACCCAAATATTCTCATACATACACCACTTTTTTTGGCTCACATGCAGTATTGAAACGCTGTCACGCTCTCCGATATACTCTTGAAATTCACGCTTCCACATGCACACCACGAACACACGCGCGCACCCGACTGCTTTCACACACCCGACTGAATTCTTTTTTTCACTCACATAAATTACAGAAATGCTCTTACACATCCTATTTTAACACTCTACACAGCCAAGATAACTTTTATCTTCCCCAGAATTTTCCCCTGATCGGTACTTGCCTTTTTTTTTTTTAAATAGCAGTTTCTATGGACGAATTCCCTGAATGACTTCAGCTCTCCAACTACTTCACTGAAATGTTCTTATACTGTATATACTTATAAACAATCTCAGACATAAAACTGAAATGCGCATTTCATTCGTGTGTATGAGAGCGTTTCAAGAGTGCATGTACAAAGGTTTCACTAAATCACATCTTTTCGGTTTGATTCTATTTTAGACTTACTCATCGAGCGCTTCTGTATGACTGGAGGAAACAGCCCGATAGGTTACTTGAAGGCTTACCACACGAACTTGTACCTTTCTGCTGACTCTGCCAAGGTGCGAGAATGGGAAACATGTAATGAGACATTGTTCTACTTTGTCACATCAGTGTACTTACTCTACGTCATCCAGTCGTGCAACAAGCGCCTGTCACGCTCAGCCAGATGCTCTGCTGCTCCAGGAAGGAAATGCAACGCGGAAAGGGTTAAAATCAGGAGGGAGACGCCAAATGACTGCAAGTCAGTGTGGATGAGAGAGGAAAGACAAGCACAAACGAGCGCTCTCACGATAATGCGGGATACTGTATTCCTGAAATGAGTGCGCACCGCTTGCCATTCATCCGCATGTTATTCCTTTTCCTGCAGTCTGATTGATCTCGTTTGCTAAATTCACTGGAGCCTCAGCTCAAATTGCTCCTCTGCATGTGTTCACCCGCACTTCAGGTGGCACCTCCAAGCAGAGAGAGAGGGAGACGGAGACTCGACCAGGACGTGAAAGAGTGACTAAACTGTTTTGGTTTGTTTGTCAAAGAATGAATTTAAGCAACGGTGTCAGTGGACAGAACCGAAATGATGCAAGCTGGGAAGATACGAAGAGACCCGTGAAGCTCTCTACTCCGACGAGGAAGCCTCAACCTGTGAGTTATATGCTTCCGGTGTTTGTTGTTTTTCCTTTACCCCATTTTGCAACCTGTGGATGCATCCGCATTAACGAGTACAACGTACATCGCTTGCAAAATGCATCACGTCATCTTTGGCATGAATATACCATCGTGGATGAGTACGTAAAAGATAACGATTGGATCTCAAATATTTGATTTTTCACAACAACTTGAAACTACTCAACACAAAGGGCAAAGGGCTCTTTTCTATCAGCCAAACTCTAAATCAATAAATCAGATAAATGTTAACAGTGTTGACGTTTGGGCATTGTGGTATGTGCCCTTTGCTGAGGGGATGAAGTGTTTTGTGTCACAGTCACACTGTTGCTGCCAACTCTGTAATAACAAATGACTCTTGGCCGTAGCAGCTTGAGGAATGACGATGGCCTGCCTACTTTGTCACAATGTTTCATGCACTACTGCTTAGGACTTGAATCTTACGTTAATTAAATAAGGTGAGAATTTCATAGACAGTCGATGCAGTTGACCAGTAGGGGGCGGTCACTCAGTACAACTACTTCGTGA